ATAAAAATATAAAATTTATAATATAATTTTAATGATGTACAATACAGTATATTCTAGATAGGTTTATAAATGAAATGAACTTTTCAGTTTTTGATGATAACAGATAATTTTTTATATGTATAATAAATTTAATTCACGATATATTTATATTCATAAATTTTTCACTCATCTCATAACATTAACTTCCTACCATCTCACAACTAAAATTTTCAGAACAACGATTTAAATTTCAGACATAAATTTCATATCACATCAGAGAATGGTTATTAACCTTTTCCCGTGCCACTTCGCATTAATAAACACAGCCATCCTCTTAGTCCCTCAGATGAAACGCCTTGAACGGTCCCGGAACGATCGTAAGAAAATACTTTATCACATGATCTTTGGCGTAGTCATTGCATGAGTTCATTTACACGTGATCTGAAAATTTAGTAACGAATTAACAATTAAAAAAATTTTTTATTTCTAAAATAAAGTACAACAATATACATTAATTATCTTTTATTTAATAAATAAGTAATTATATAAGATTTTTTTTTTACTAAAATATATAATTGCTTGAGATCTTTTTTTAAAAAAAAATTACGGAAGATTTTTTTTTTTTTTTTTGAATGATTTGAATAATTAAAAGAGAATACAACAAAATAGATTATTTTTTTTATTAAATTTGACAACTTTTTTTTTTTGCAAAATTAATATAATTTGAAATTTAAACACTTCTTAATATTTGTGTAGTTATTTATTATTTATTTATTTTAAACAATAAATAATTATTATTATTATTACTATTTTTAATATTAAAGAAGTTTGTCTCATATGAATCTATTTAAAACTTCCGGTTATGATTAAGTTAACTTGTTTATTTAAATTATAACTAAGTATGAAAATGTTCATAATAATTTTTTTCGGTGTAATATGAATATCTCATGCGTAAGATAAATTATGTAAATATTTGTAATATTTTTCCATAAATATTTTATTTATGCGAAAATGTACTTTTTTGACTTTTTAATAAATAACATAACATAAATTATGTAAATACTTTTAAATTTTAATTTATTTTCACGTAAAATTTTTTTTTTTTTCGCGTAAATATTTTTTTGAAAAAATTACAAAGTAAAAATAAAATAAAATAAAATTAAAATGTCTACAATATTATACTTTTTTATAAAAACATTACAGACATTTATTTAGCTTGAGAAATAAATAAAGAGAGAAAAAATTTTACGTATATTTAAATTCCGAAAAAAAATATTTTATTAAAAAATAATGCCTGCAAAATTTGTAGCTTTTTGCTATGTTAACGATTCTACTGAGCGTCTAACTCAAGAATATACTGTCAAAGAGATTACTGATGTTACAAGAACTGATGATGATTATCCAACGAAATTTATCTACTTAAAAATGGGTGTTACGTCACTGTTACGATAACATGTAGTGTATGGATATACCTATGTTCACTTCACCTCAGATTTATATTAAGTCCCATCAGTGTAAACTTCTAAAGTCAACAAAAGTGAGCAAAACAATGTTCGACAATGAGCAAAAAAAGCAACCGATAAGGGAGGTGGATCTTCCGATGTAGATAAACTTCCATCATTATCTGCTATTGTTGATGGTAATCATTGGAGGTCGTATTTCGGTCCCTTTGCAGGAAGAGCCTTCCTGTTAGCGCGCAGTGATCAATTAAATGCCAACAAGACCAAATTTTCTGAGTTAACATCATTCACAGGGATAGGCAAAGTACATACCGAACGTTTAATATCTGAAAGATCTACAAGATTTAGAAGATTGCTATGAAATAACTCAAATTCCCCGTAACAACTTAGAAAATTTCCAGTTCAAGATTTAAGAACGTTTTTCAAATATTATAGCTTTTTCTCATTTCGTTTAGAATTGCGTAACTGAATTTTATGCTGATCACGCCTCAAAATTTATTAATAAATTTATTTTTAAAAAAATTTTTTTACGCTAACTTACAATGCAATTTATAACATAAAATTACTAATCTTTAAAGAAATGATATTAACATACATGACGTATTATTATTTTCTGTTGCATACAAGGAAACTTTATTAGTAATATCAAAAGTTTTAGAGTAGCAATGTGACACTTTCAGGGCCATATAATGCGAATCCCTGCATCATACTATTTTTTGCTCTTTCACATTTCCTGTAACTAGTTTGTTTCTATCACTATTATTAGTTAACTATGGGATTTTCACAAACTCTTCTATAAATTTTATAAACATCAGATTTCCAAAATAAATTATTCCAATCGTATTTACAAAATTTTTTCCTATATATTACACAGATCATGAGAAGGATTAAGTACTACAAAAGAACTTTTCCGAGAGAAAGAATTTCGAATATACAGCATAAATACCTAAATATGCATGAAAAACTTGTTTCGCAAATTATTAGAAGGTAATTATTATTAGTCCAATATGTAACGAAGGAATAATGTTATGCAAAGGTAATACAATTTTTGTCTGACACGAGACTACGCAACAACACAAAAGTTGTATAATATTTAAACACAATTTTTTTTTTTCAGCCCTCTGTTAGAAATATCATCTTTTTTTAATAAAATTAGAAAAAAACATTTTTTTTTTTTCGATTTTTTTTTTTTGAAAAATTAGAAACATCATTTTTTTATTTCTGCAAAGAAAATATTTTTTTATTTCATTTTTTATTTCGTTAAAAAAATTCAAAAAAAAAAAATTTCGGTTTTATTTTTGTTAGGAAATTAGAAAAAAAAATATACTATTGTATCAGTAATTCACATTTTATTTTTTATTATTATTATACCATTTCTATTATTTGGGTTTAAATTAAATTTTTTATCATGAAAGAAATCCCTTTTAAAAAAATATATTTTTTTTTATTAGAAAATTAACCTTTGGAATGATGTAAATAATTTTAAATGTGACAGTAAATTATTGCTATACAACACCTCTCTATATATAGTACCTAAATCCAGGTTCGTTTAAGTCTCTAGAATGTCCAGCGGTTTAAAAACAAAAAAAAAGAATATTACTACATTTCTTTAATTCCTTTAATACAATCGAAAGTATAACTTCTCCGTATATTTCTTCCAGTAGTCTGGATTAATTTAAGTCTTCGGGAGTTTGGTCCTATAAAAAGAAACCTAATGTGCTACAAAAAAAAGAAACCCTAAATTATAAAGTTTTAAAAATAATGAAATAAAGACTTTTTTTTAAAAAATAAAAAAAGGGAAAACTTTGAATAAGAGAAGTCGGGTGAACGTACAAAAAATTTAAGAGAAAATATATTGAAAAAATATTAAAATTTTGAAAATAATTGCCTTTAAAATATTCTCGGTATTGAAAGAAACCGAAAATAAAAAGAATGAAAAAAATTTTATTTTCGGAAAATAAAAAAAAAAAGGATTAAAACAAAATTATTCTTTGGTATGAACTGATCTGACGGACAAACTCGGGTGATGGAGCCTAACGGCAGTTCTAACAGCCAAGATCGTCTGAAAAAAAAAATAAAAAAAAGATTGATAAAATTAAAATTTTATTTTCGGTTTGAAAAAAAAGAAATCAAAAAAAATATATAATATAATAAAAAAATCGGGTTTATAAAGAAAACGAAAAAAAATTTCGGTTTGAAAAAAATTGGATATGACATGACCCGACAGGTTACAAGTTATATTAGATTTTATAAATAATTGAAAATTTCTTTTTTTGTAAAAATGAAATAGGATGAGTAGTTAGCTACATTTATTTAAATAAAATATTCACAGAATATAAAAATTTATTTTAATTATTTCACATCAAGTTTTTATTTAAAAAGTATAATACGCTTAATTTATTTATATCAGATATAGAATAAATCCATTTACCAACAAAATTCCTATAATATCTTTTTCATGTTTACTTGCAGAAGAAAAAAAATAATTCATCATACTGTACTCTTTGTACTTTCTAATTACTTTGGGAATAGTGAATAATGGTGAAAGAGCTACCTTATAAATTTTCTCCCCCACGTGATTGTGTGGCGTTTACCCATTGTTTTGCTAATTTGCTTACTCCTTTAATTAATGTTTCTTGATTATTTTTAACTCTATCAAATATTTTAAATTTCACATGACATTAAAAAAAAAATATTAAAAGTCTAATCTGCTAAAGGTTCCCATTACCATTCCATTTGCCGAGTATTTTTTGGCTTTATTACACGAAATAATAAAAAATATGAAAATTATAAACAAATTAAAAATGTAAAAATGTAGTTAAACGCTAAAGTCATTATATCAATCCATAAAATTAATATCATTACTCTTTAGTATGTAAAAGAATCTCTGGGTGCAAGTTTAACTTGATGAGTTAACAAGTGACTGTTTTAAACACTAAAATAAAAGAGGTTGGAATGATTAACCGGTTAGAAGCTGTTTTTTGGCTGCAAATTATATTACTCCGTTATAAATTAATTACATGAAGCCATATATTTTAATAATCTTATTATTAAAGCATAAAATAACATTTCTGGGTTACATTATATAATTTGAGAATAATGATTTAAATAATTTTAATCGACTAGTTTGCTTACTAATAGTTAATTAAATAATCGATTAACGTTAATCAGTTCCAACCACTAAAATAAAAATGCTAAAATTTTAAGTGATTATTTAACTTCAAATATTTTAAATCTCTTTTTATACTTTCTATCATATAAAAAATAATTTTTATTTCGCAATAATCCATAATTTATTTAATGTAAAAGGATCATTCTTATATAACTTACATACAAAATAATTTATCAAGCCACGATTTATACATGAACTTCTAGTGGGTGTTTTTACTGTAATATAAAGACATCACTGAAAAGTAATTATTTACATTAAACTTAATTCTCTTGCTTATCAACCATGATACTTATTAATACAATTGAAATATAAATGATTTATTTATTATAAATTTTAGATAATTTAATATGATCAAATTTATTAATAAAAAAAACAATTTTTAAATTTATTACAACGCTAATCCTTGATCTTTCAGATATAAATAATTGATAAATTATCAGTCTTCTATATTTCCATCAAATATCCCAGATTAATATTAAAGACCATCCTCAAGTAATTATATTTGATGTGTTTTTTTTATATACAAAATATTTTCATTTAAAGTTAAATGTGTTTTAATTTTTTCATCTATAATAAAAAAAAAATAGTTTAATTAAATTCTAATAGACCAAATAATCACATGTAAAAGAAATTACCTTTAGGATTAATATCAAGTTTAGTAAAATCCATTTTTAAGGAATCTATAAATATTGGTTGCCAGAATTATAAAACTAATTTAAATTATTATTGAAAACTATATGTATTTACCTGAATATTCCACTCCAAGTAAATCATTATTATCAGCATTTTTTGGTTCTGGAAGATTTTTAAAATCTAAAAGTCTACTTGTATAAACTGCTTGAGGATGTGTTGTATATGAGAGTTTACTTGTAGATGATAATGGAAATTGGACTGGAAAAGATGACTTTTTATTAATTTTATCTGCCTCTTTAACTTGCCCATAAATTAAAGAATCCACTTTATTGTTATCAATATCAGGATATAACTTCCATATTGATTCATGTAATTCTTCTGCATTAGGTCGTTTTAAAGGGTCTGCATCCCAACATTGATTAATAATGTCAAAAATTAACTGAGGAATTTTATAATTAGACGTTGGCCTCAATCCCTTACAAATTTTCATTGCTAAGAATTCATCATGAGCTATATCATAATAAGGAGGGAAACCTGTACAAATTTCATATGCAATGATTCCAAATCCATAAATATCACTTGCTTGAGTATATTCTTTTCCTCTTAAAACTTCAGGAGCTACATAAGGTAATACTCCATATATTTTTTTATTACTATTTTGAGAGGATTTGGCATTAGCAGGTTGACATAATCCCAAATCAGTAACAAAAGCCTCTTCATTAAAATTGCTTAATATATTCCCACAATGAAAATCATGATGAATTAATCCTTTATTATGAATATCTTTAAGACCAAATGCAATACCTTGTAAATTATATAACTTATTCTCCCAATTCAGTGAAATGAAGTTATCATTTAAAAATTGTCTTAAACTACCATCTTTCAAATCCATAACCATCATAAAATCATTTGTTTTTGGATCTTTGGTAATACCAAAACAACGAACTATCCAACTAGTTTCATATGCTAAAATATTTGACTCAACCTTAAAAGAAAATTATAGTTAGTTTAACATTTATAAAGCTAATTAAGATTTATAATAAAATATCTTACTTCTTTTAAAAATTCTGCTGTAATATCTTGTGAATTATGTAAACATTTTAAAGCAACTTTTGTTTTACCTTCTCTTCTCCATTGATTATGATCATATTTCCATATAGGACCATCTTTCCAAACTGCTTTAAAAGTAGTTCCAAATCCCCCTTTTGCTAAATATTCAACATTTTCAAATTTATCATATTCAATCCATTCTATGGCTTGACCAAAATTTTTAGCTTTTAATTGTGCTTTTTGAATAAATTCATCAATATCATGATTTCCACTTGTCCAATTTTTGAAATTTTGTTTAAAATGTTGTGAATTACATAACCGACAATATTTATATCCAGTTTTAGGCTGCTTACATTTTTTACATAAATTATATTTTTTATAACATTCTATTAATTCTTTGTCTATTATTAGTTTATCAATTAACGATTTTTGTTCTTTTGTCAGGTAATAATAATTTAAATCTTTTATTTGCTCAATAACATCATCACTTAATTTAATTTCATCCATTTTATTTAAACAAAAATATGTTATTAATTCGTACGTAAAATTACTAAAAAATAATAAAGGAAAAGAAAAAAAATAAAAAAAAAAGTGGTGAAACATTATTTTAATGTTGCAATGATTTAAAGATCGGCAACAAAATTATCAAAAAAAGACTAGTTAAAAATACACAAAATACACAGAGGAAACACAATAATCTTGATCTGCAATTAAATTTATTCAATTTTGGTAAATTACAATCCTACAAAGACTACTTGTCCCAATCTCTGCCTGCTTTTTTATTTAAATTCTCCATAATTAGGTAAGATTAAAATAAGAAAATACGAAATTAAATATCAACATGAATTTAAGTTAACCTTTTACGAATGTTGATTATTACTAACTAAAAGAGAATTTGAAAATTTGAAATTGTTTTTAAATTTAAAAAGATAATTGCAATTTTTCCTTTTCTGTTCTTTTTGCAAAATTTCAAATTTTATTTGCGCATTTTTGCAGGATTTTCTTATAAATTGATAATGTAATTATACAATAAAATTAATCTCATCATCATATGTATTAATTTAACTTCTTTTAATAATTTTTTTTAAAAAAAAAAATTTTTCACAAAGTTCACAATATTATTATTGTCTGACCTGACTTTTTCTCATTTTTTAAATATGAAGCATAACAGTATGAACGTTCAGTTAATGTTTTTTTTTTTCAATAAAATTCATATTAAGAGAGTTCTTATAATGGAACATAGATTTTAAAAGTTTTTTACATGAATTTACATATATTATTAGAATTAATATAAATCTTGTAAATCTGCATAAACTTATTAGCTCCGCTGATGATTTATGAAAGACTTAATTTAATTTCTCTTATCCATTTGAATAAAGTATACATATAAAATGCACTGTACGAACTGCGATTGTATGTAACAATCGTATAGTACAAGATTTTCACGTGATACTGATTATTTGTTTATCATTGTTTCATTGTTTACTTGCTCGCCCCTTACTTTTCTAACTCATTTTCTTTTCTTTGTAAAATATTTGTTAAATAATAAAAAAACTATTACACTCTCTTTAATAAATGTAAAGTTGATAATAAATGCATTACTGTGTTATGCGTCGCATTTTCCCTTCATTTTATAGCGTAATTTTACCACTTTAGTTAAATGTAATAGATCTTGGGGATAATATAAAGTTGTTTAGGGAGTGTTGAACTATTCAGACATAAATTATTTTAAATATTCGTGGAAATATGATTTTTTTTGTATAAAACTAGCAGTAGCTCGCTGCTTCGCACCGGGATTAGTAAGTTGTTTTATATTAATGTAGTAATGAATAATGAAAGGAAAATTATGATATATGTTTAAAAACTTCAAGTTTTATTATTGTTCATAATTAGAAATCTAAAGGAGTGTAAATAAATGATAATAAAATAAAAAATAAATTTAATAAATTTAAAAAAGGTGATAAAAAAAAGGCTAAGATGGAGTTCTTAGAGCTTAGAAAACATATCTTTTCATTTGCTAGAATTTTTTTTTTTGTATATGATGGCAAAAAAATTTTTTTATGTGTGAGATAAACTTTTTTTTGTATATTTGAAAAATGTAGTATTATTATAGCATGTTTAAATATTTTGAAAGATTTCATTATTACAATGTTTTTGGTCTGAAGAAATATATTAATAATATATTGATAAGAAATTAATATAAATTTTATTTATTGTATAAAGTTTTATTTATTGTATAAAGTAGATGTTACAGTACTGTAGAATATTTTCAAATTTATTATAAATAGTTTTATTGATACTAGGAGAAAAAACGCTAAAAAATCTTTATCTTTATTACACTGAATTATTATTATCGGGAGAAAAAAATCAATATAAAAAAATTTTATTAGGGAAAAGGCCAAATAATTCTCTTTTATATACTAAACTATTAAATTGATCTAATATTATATGGGGAGAAAAAATTAATATGAAAAATTAATATGAAAAAATTTTATTATCGATTATAGAAATTTATCATCATTATTAAAAAAAGCTAATAATCTATCTATTCTAATAGTTATTTGTATTAGTTACTCGGGAAACTAAAAATTGGTATTAGCAATCACAAATTTGCTGATCAAAAACATTAAACACTTAAGTATAGATCAGGCGCAAATCTGGCGCAGGGGAATGATGCGTTGCACAACTCAGAAATTTAGATTAACCTGTATAAATATCGAATAACGGTTTCACAGGAATTTTTTTAATAAGATAGATTACTGTGGCGCTCATATTTATTTTAATTTCATCATTTTGATTAAATAAAACAGATCTTGTGGGATTAAGTAAAGTTGTTTAGCAAGTGTAAGAATATTTAGATATCGATTTTTAATATTTGTGGAGGTATGATTTTCTTTATATGCTGCATGTTTTTTCATTTTATAACGTTCGTCATTTTGGTTAAATAAACAGGTCTTAAAGTTGTTAGGACTATTCAGACAATAATTTTATCAAGTTAGCTTAAATATTGGTGGAGATATAGATTTTTTTGCATAAAATTACTGTGCCGTTAACTTTAATGTATAAAATTACTTTCATTAATATCTTTGTTGTAATAAAATACATCTATTAAAAATTCCTATATTAGTAATTGTGACTTGATAGATAAAAAATAAAAAAATAAAAGCAGAAAGAAGAAAAAGGTGGACTTAGTTTCATAAAGAAATTTTCATATATTACTATAAAACTTCGTGAATCATTTTAAAAATGATTGCAGAATTTGCACAATTATTCTTTAATTTTAACCACTGTATAAAAATAAATGAGTATAAAGCTTTAATTTTATTTGATAAAATAAAATTTTGTTCTCTCTATGTTTATTCAAAAGGCAGATCTATAAACAGTACTGTACAGTAAGTTTTAACAAGTTCATACAGTACAGTACAGTACAGTACTGCTGTACGAACTTCTACAAATTAAGATCGTACAGTGCTGCTCTTTTCTCAAAAATAGTTGGCTCAAAAATCTTAAAATTTGGCTTTATGAAAAATATGAACAATATGAAAATAAAACTTTCATAAATAAAATTTTATAATTTCTTTATTAAATTTATTAAATGAATATAATAATAGTAATATTATCTATACATATAATCTTTTTACACAAAAAAAAACTCAAAGATTAATACCATTAAAAATTCATAAGTACTTGAGTTAGCTTGATAAAAATTTACACGTGGGTAGTTTCACGCCCAATGAACAACTTACTTAATCTTCCAAGTCCTGTTTTATTTAACCAAAATGGCAAAATTACATTATAAAGTGAAAAAAAAATGTGTTCCCTTGTTTATCAACTGATTTATACAATTGAAATATTAATGATTTATTTATAAATAATTTAATATAACCAAATTTATTAATAAAAAAAAAATCTTATTCATTTACAATCAAATTAATATTCAATCTTTCAGATATGAATAATTGATAAATTATCAGTCTTATTATATTACCATTGAATAATATTAAAGACTATCCTGCCTCAAGTTCAAAATAAAATTATATTTGATTTATATACAAAATATTTTCATTTAAAGTTAAAAGTATTTTAATTTTTTTCATCTATAATAAAAAAAATAGTTTAATTAAATTCTAATAGACCAAAAAATCACATGCAAAAGAAATTACCTTTAGGATTAATATCAAGTTTAGTAAAATCCATTTTTAAGGAACCTATAAATATTGGTTGTCAGAATTATAAAACTAATTTAAATTATTATAGAAAACTATAAGTGTTTACCTGAAAATTCTACTTCAGTAAATCATTATTATCAGCATTTTTTGGTTCTGGAAGATTTTTAAAATCTAAAAGTCTGCTTGTATAAACTGCTTGAGGATGTAACATATATGAGAGCGTACTTGTAGATGGTAATGGTAATTGAACTGTTAAAGATGACTCTTTAATTTCATCTGCTTCTTTAACTTGCCCATAAATTACAGAAGATACTTTATTGTCACTAATATCATTATCTAATTCCGCTATTAAATCATGCAATTCATTTGCATCAGGTCGCTTTAAAGGGTCTGCATCCCAACATTGATTAATAATATTAAAAATTAATTGAGGGATTTTATAATCAGACGTTGGCCTCAATCCCTTACAAATTTTCATTGCTAAGAATTCATCATGAGCTATATCATAATAAGGAGGGAAACCTGTACAAATTTCATATGCAATGATTCCAAATCCATAGATATCACTTGCTTGAGTATATTCTTTTCCTCTTAAAACTTCAGGAGCTACATAAGGTAATACTCCATATATTTTTTTATTACTCTTTTGAGAGGATTTGACATTAGCAGGTTGACATAATCCCAAACCAGTAATAGAAACATGAAAATATGGAACAGAAGAGCTTAATATATTCCCACAATGAAAATCATGATGAATTAATCCTTTATTATGAATATCTTTAAGACCAAATGCAATACCTTGTAAATTAAGCAACTTTTCCTCCCAATTAATTGAAATGAAGTTGTTGTTTAAATATTGTCTTAAACTACCATCTTTTAAAACCATAACCATCATAAAATCATTTGTTTTAGGATCTTTGGTAATACCAAAACAACGAACTACCCAACCAGTATTATATACTAAAATATTTGATTCAACCTTAAAAGAAAATTATGGTTAGTTTAACATTTATAAAGGCTAATTAAGATTTAAAAGAAAATATCTTACTTCTTTTAAAAATTCTGCTGTAATATCTTGTGAATTATGTAAACATTTTAAAGCGACTTTTGTTTCACCTTTTCTTTCCAATTGATAGTTATCATTCAATTTCCAAGGACCATCTTTCCAAACTGCTTTAAAAGTAGTTCCAAATCTCCCTTTTGCTAAATATTCAACATTTTCAAATTTATCATATTCAACCCATTCTATGACTTGATCAATATTTTTAGCTTTTAATTGTGCTTTTTGAATAAATTCATCAACATTATGATTTCCACTTGTCCAATTTTTGAAATTTTGTTTAAAATATTGTGATTTACATGGCCGACAATAATCAGGATAAATTTTAGGTTGTTTACATTTTTCACATAAACCAAAGCCTTTATAACGTTCTTTTAATTCTTTGTCTGTTATTAGTTTATCAATTAACGATTCTTGTTCTTTAGTCAAATTCCAATAATGGAAGCCTTTTATTTGTTCAATGACATCATCACTTAATTTAATTTCATCCATTTTAATAAATAATTTTTAAACAAAAAAATGTTATTAATTCGCAATGTAAAAATTACTAAAAATTAATAAAGGAAAAGAAAAGAAAAAAAAACGAAAAAAAAGTGGTGAAATGTTGCAATGATTTCAAGATCGGCAACAAAATTATCAAAAAAAGACTAGTTAAAATACACAGAGGAAACACAATAATCTTGATCTGCAATTAAATTTATTCAATTTTGGTAAATTACAATTTTTTATTTAAATTCTCCATAATAGGTAAAATTAAAATAAGAAAATACGAAATTAAATATCAACGTGAATTTAATTTAAACTTTTACGAATGTTGATTATTACCTAACCAAAAAGAATTTGGAAATTTGAAAAAAAATTTGTTAATTTTATGGATTGATATCGTATTAACTTAATACATATCTGAAACTAATTTATGAAAAAAAAATCTAATACAAATTATTCTGATGAAGCGTAAAAGCCGGAAAAATTCGGATACACAAAATTACCCAAATGGAAGGATCACCGGGCTTCCGATTGTTACAACAACTGCGATGAAATGGACGGTAAAAAGTTATTTGAGAAATCACGTGATATGACCTTTTACGATTTTCCTTGGTATTGGTCAGACGACGAATGTATAAGAGATGTAGGTTATGTGGAGAAAATAACAATCAAAAGAAGTTATAAATATAAGACGATCAAGGCCAGATTTTGTTTTACCAAAGAATATGAAAACACTTATAAGCGAGTTGGGGGCCAATATTACAATTCTTAGAAATGGTCGTCAATATTTTTTCCGAATGTTTGACTCTGATTTATTACCACGTGAATTAAATAAAAAGTTTGGTTAGTAAGCAGTTAAGAAAATTGTAGCAGGTAGTGATAAACCTATGGAGAAATCATTAAAGAAAATATTAAAAAATATGGAGGATTTTTCGGAAAAGTTATTAGGTTAACAAAATTAAATATATCCTTTTATACTTTAACAACGAAAATGAAATGATGAACAAGTATATAAATCGGGAATGGAAGACGAAATAGGCCAAGGGTTACAACTAAAAGTCAAGATGAACTTATAGGGAAGGACGGCAGTTTGAGAAGTCGGATGACGAACAATTTTACGATACAAGGGACGCTCTAACAGATCTGAAGGAGAATTTGAACAAGCAAGTTTTTAGTGACAGAATTAAGGAAATTAACGGTAATGAACCAACAGGTAAAGTATTAAAGGAAACTAAAAATTGGTGATAATATTAATGAAAACAAGAAACGTGTTGCAGGTTCTCGAGGAGGATGATGATAGTGAAGGGAATGAATAAATATACAAAAGTATGATTTTAGCGCTATATTAGAAGGGTTTCAAGTTAATTAATCTTTTATAGTGTAGTTTCAAAATTTTTAGATTAGATACCTTTTTGATATGATGTTTTTGCGTATATAAATTATTAAAGGTTACAAAAAAAAAAATACAAAAAACTGCAAAAGTAACGTATTTTTTATTAGTCCGAAGTGTAACAAAAGACTATACACTACTATACAAAGGTAACACCAAAATGTCCGTCCGACACGTGAAGAAGTACAACAATAAACCTTTAAAGGCTTAAACAACACTTCGGACTTAATAACGGTTTCCCCGTTTTCTAGTATGTTAAAACAAATAATTTTAATGGATAAATTAAAGGTGTTAGATAGACTGCAAATGATACTTTTGATATTTAAAAATAAAAAACTTTATATGTTAATAGTCAAACTATATTAGAAAAAATGACTTGCATTTAACCTTTAAATAACATGTGGATTTTAATATTAAATGAATTCATTAACATTCATTTCGAAGAAATAAAGCTCAAATATTATACGATATATTCTAGGTATAATATTTTATATATATTAAGTTCGAATTCTTATTAATTATTTATTATGCAGTTATTATTTTATTATTTTTGGATTGAAACGAAACATAATGCTAACAACAGATATCTAGCTAACAAGATGAACTCAATTATCTAACCAAAGCATAAAACCGAAGGTCTTATAATGCTAGAGGTTTTCATCCATAAAATCGATATAATAGTAGATATTTCTGAGTTGTGAGACAGTATTACCATCAAGAAACCAAAGAAAAAAATTTGTATTTTTATTCACAAGGCTAATGTAGCTAAAAAAAAAAATCCAAAAGATAATTCTTCCTTGGATTTATAGACCTGATGAATTATTAGTGGAGATATTCGGAAAACATTCCAATTTATTATATATTATTTTTTAAAATCTATCAATTCGTTTATTGTAACTAGTCGTGGTTTATAAAAAAGACGATAGTTTCTCATAAATATTTACTAGCCGCAACCTGTTGCGTTGCAACAGGATTAAATAAGTTTAAATCAATATACTATTTTTGTTTTATATTTAGATGAATTATGATCTTATTATATTAACATGTTTTTTTTTTATTTTAAGTAAGAAAAAATATATTTATTCTAACTAAAAAAATAAAACAAAGTATATTTATTCAATAAAAAAAATATTTTATTTTGATTGTATCGCCGATCAAAACCTAAGAGGTGATACTCACTGTAGGATTGCAGTGTTAGTGCGTCAGTCTAACCTGTTGAGTTTAGTGAAATTTATTGTTTTTATGGATTCTAGAAAATAAAATAATTGTACGTTAAAGGTCCAATCACTGATCTAGATCTAAGCCTAAAAGACGAAATAAATAATAACGATAATATCTATACATAAAAAAGTGTTAAAAATAAATAAAAAATTACATAATAACATATTTGTATAGATTATTATTATAAAGAGAAAAAAACCAGGATGAGAAATATTGAAAATTCAGTTTTAAAAAAATTGTAAAGAAAAATTATTAAAATCTCGGTTTAAAAAATATAACCATTAATTAATGATTTAAGTGCCTAATAGTTTATTAAAAATATTCGATGCAACTTCAATACCAAATGGTTGTGGCTGAATATTTTGAAATGATGATTCCTCCCTANAAATTCAGTTTTAAAAAAATTGTAAAGAAAAATTTTAAAAAAAACGCTCTAAAAAAAAAGAAACCAAAAAAAAAAAATATTAAAAAAAATGATCCAGTCTAAAAAAAAGACTGAAAAAAAGTTCCAGTCTCAAAAAAAGGAGACCAAGAAAAATATTATTAAAAAAAAGAAGATATAGTCTAAAAAGGCCGAAAAAAATATTATTATATAAAAAAAGATCCAATCTAACTGGAAAAAATTCACATTCGGATATCTGCTGGTAGCAGATTGAAAGGGTGGGTGGGAATGGTCAAAAATGAAACATGATTAGTAAAACAAATTAAAAGTTTTTTTCGTTAATTAGCAAAAAAAAAACTATTCGATTAAATTATTAAATTTCATTAACCGGAACTTTATTAGTGATCAGATTGGCCATCGAATGTACACATGACCCACTAATAATTATGGAACCATCCGGATGAATTTCCTTATTGCAATTACGATAAAAAAATGATTCTTTTTATTTAAAATGCAATTTTTATAATATATGATTTTTTGCTTCACAAACAGAAATATTCTTATTGTTTATTATTTGTTAAATAGTATAACCATTAATTAATGATTTAAGTGCCTAATAGTTTATTAAAAATATTCGATGCAACTTCAATACCAAATGGTTGTGGCTGAATATTTTGAAATGATGATTCCTCCCTATTGTTATCGATTAAAAAAAATGATGATTCCTCCCTATTGTTATCGATTAAAAAAAAATATAATTTAAAATAAGAATACTACTAATATTAAAAAAATAATATTATTAAAAAAAAATCTGTTGCGGCCTATTGTTATTGGCAAAAAAATATAATTTTTTTAAAAAAATCGGCGTGCCCATTGTTATCGGGAGAAAAAATCAAAAAAAATTTAATTGCAGTTTATTTTAACCATATCAAAATTTAATATAGGCTCTTATATTTTTGCGAAATGAACTTGATTCAGAACTTGATGAAGTATATAAATCTAGCAATTTGAATTTATTTTAAATAAAAATAATGAATATTAAAATTTTATTTTAAAAAAAGATTTAACTAATTATTATTTTTATTTAAAGTAAATATGTTGGTGGTTCAAGTAGAGGTAGTAAACTGACTTTACCACCAGCACAGCACATTTCGAAAGATGGAAAAGTTTGGCTGCTATTATGGTTTCTTTCGTCTATCCAAAATTTAGCACCATAATGAGTGCAAATCTGATTCATCCTTCCCAGTTCATGATGCTCTATGTTAATATACTGCCCATCTATAAGACTTATACCCAATTTATGTTTGGTCTTTTTTGCCTCTTTTCATAGTGATAATGTGCTTGCCTTTCATTATGTAATCTCTTTTTACGTTGTTCAGGTACTTCACCTTC